TTAGTTATGCGCCAAAATGCATCTCTCCATTTTTAATTTTGTCTGAAATTACCTGAGGAATTTCTCAATGCCCCCCACCCACCCTTTTTTTTCTCCCAATTTTTGCTTAGTGATCCTGGTCGCCCAGTGGCGTAGCTAGGGTAAGTGGTATCCTGGGCGGGCCAATATTTTTGCCTCCCCCTTCCATAATAAAACTCTAATTGCTACCCTCTTCAATGAAAAGGGCACATATGGGGGTGGAGTCCTTTCCGCCCACCCTTCCCTACGCCAGTGGCACAGCCCACCCAAAGAACTGAAATGCCCCCCCCCCCCCCCCAATATTGGCTGAAAGAAACACTGGCCTGGGGCAGACAACGTCACTGCTTGCTCTTATTTCAGCCACAACTATTTAAAGTAAGTTTTTAGCGGTTAAAGTAAAAGACCAAACTAAGGTTTCTTGAACCTTCTGTTATTTGAGAGTTGGCCTGCGCACTATAGTTGGTCTGGGAATATTTATTGTGTTTAAGATGTTTTTCTTATCACCCCCACGTCATGAAGAGAGAATATCTCGCGAAATCTGACCTTTGACCCTTGAATGACAATTTATCTAGTTGAAATTTGTTTTATATATTCGCTAACACCCCCCTCCCCCCCCCCACGCGCCCTTTTTTCCCCTCCCATCCCCCCTCCCGAAATATTTATTCCCCCCTCCCCCCCCCCACGCGCCCTTTTTTCCCCTCCCATCCCCCCTCCCGAAATATTTATATTTAGCTGGATGAGCATAAAAACTAATTACGTCGATTAGAGCTGGGCCAATTTTTTCCCCGAGTTCCAGTATCTCATAACAGTGAGTAGTAATTGATGGTAAAATACAATTTTCCGTTGTATTTTTTAATCCCATTCTTTTATTTGCACTTGGCCGAAAATGCCGACCACCCCTATATAGGAAGGAAAAAGTGCCGACCACCCCTATATAGGCAGGAAAAAGTGCCGACAAGGGAGGAATGCCCCTCCCCCACCCTCGCCACTGCTTATACTGTATAAGGAGATCCTGAATACAGTTTGGTACCAGTGTGCACTTCATACCAGTGTGCACTTCATGCCAATGTGCGCTTCAAACTTCACTGAGGATCGAACGTATTTGGAAAGTAAGAGACCTTGGGGGAATCAGAGAGATCTGAGAGAGGAAGAGAGAGCGGGAGGGAGAGAGAGAGACAGGCAGACAGAAAGAGAGAGAACGTGATTTGGAAAGAACAAGACAATTTCTGATAGGTGATTTAGTGGGAAAATGTATGAAAGTGATTTGGAGTGAGTGAGTGTGTGTTAGAGAGACAGACAGACACACAGACAGACAGACAGACAGACAGACAGACAGACAGACAGAGAGCATGGACGAAATGACCAAGGAGAATGAACATTGATCAAACTGATTTTGAGAGAGGTTTTGGTTAAGTTGTTTAGTAAGACATTATCAATTGTTACAGGCCAAAAGTTTCAGGAAGTCTTACACACGTATGCCAGCTAGATCTAATGCCAACACGCCAGACTTGTGTTTGCTTATTCTGCTTAGGTCATAAATTAAATATCCCATGACACGGTAAATAAAACAGTGCAAAGGGTTACTTTGCAGGCCCATATCTGGAACGCATATCTTGTGCCTTTGTCATCGCAAAGAACGAGCGGGTCTGATGGGAACCATTCTTTCTATTTCTTAAAACGATGTTTAAGGTCGAGGTATATACATTTACAACCATATCAGTGTCAGCATTGCGTATGTTGGTCTACATGTCTTCATCTACGAGTGTCATTTCATCTAATCTCACGATGCCCAGAAATCAGCGGCGTAGGGACAGCAGGATTGGGGGGGGGGCGGGGGTGGCGGTCCCCCCTCAGACACAAATTTCGATGACGTATCCATATTTTTGGCTGAAACGATACCAAAATAAATTTGGGTTAAATTTATCGTTAGACTCTAAAGCGCCCCCACCACTCTTTTTTGCTTTCTTCTAGCCCACCCGATGTGTAAGTTAAAAATTGTTACTTTTCCGTGGGCGAAACATTTCCCCCTTTGAAAAAAAATTAAAAAAATTGACTCGACTACTTTCGGAAATGTATACTCAATGGCTAGTGCGGACTTAAGTTTCTGCCGCCACTGGGCTCTAACAATGGTGCGGCGCCATCTTTGAAAGACGTTAAACTCTGCTTCCTACAAAAATATGTTTTTTGTTTTTTTTAAAGGTATTTACCCGCAGCTCATGGGGCTTGCTGTCTTGGCGGTGTAGGGCACTTTCATAAATCAGATAGAGAATTTCAGAAAATAACATAAGAACAGGAGTTTCCAAACCCCACTGTGAGCCCGATGGGGTCGTTTCAATGATCCGAATGGCGAGCATTTATCTAAAAAATAAAATAAAAAATAAAAAATAGAAATAAGAACATCCAGAGTTGTCGCGATCCGCGAATGACTGGTTTCTTTCGTCAAACTCCTTGTGCGCGTTCATGCGTCGTAAGCATCACACCAAACTGATTCAACACAAGTACTTTTTTAAATCCTTCATATTAACTTCGCTGGCTCGCGGGTTAGCCGACTGGCGAAATCTTCGGATGGCTAATTGACCCACTTCCTGGCAACCTATCGAGCTGAAACTCGGCCCATAGACGCGTTGCCATTGACAACATGTAATATATAAAAATTTAAGCCCCATTCCCTAGCTCCAACTCCAAAAAATAAGTTTTTTTCTTTTTTTCAAGGGGAAGATAAAATGAAATTCCCGATAAATGCGCTAAAAAAGGTTTTTTTTTTTTTTTTTTAATATCACAAGTGCGTTTGGTGCGTAATATTTTTTTGATTTTACTAAAATAGTTGGTGAAAATTTTCTGCGGTGTAAAAGTGGGAGGCTCATTAGATTTTAATATAGTTCAGGGGCGGGGGGGGGGGGGGGGGGGGGGGGGGGGGGGGGGGGGGGAGCGCACTAATTGGGATTCTTATAAATTGTGTTACTTGAATGCCTGGCATGTCAAATTTTTACCCCCCCCCCCACCCTCAATGCTCGACAGTGTATGTAATAAAGGATTTATACCGAAAACTTTGCTTTTAAGGGGTTGTAGATTGTTGAACGTTTTCATCTTAACTTCGCCTTCGTTCGCGGCTGACTGCTAATATATTCGGACGGCGGCAGTTTTGAGTATCCGCGCAGCAAATTTCCATGTAAGTGTGTTTTTTGTTTGTGGGTTGTAAAATTTTGCACACAGCAGAATTGATGCTGTAAAACTTTGCACACAACTGTATGATTTTGCACACGAACCAGCAAACCTTAGAGGGAACATTGATCCCAAACCCCTAAAAAAACAGTTTTTTTTCCTGATTTTTGAAGGGGAATATAAAGGAAATAGTGATTTTACGAATTAAAATTCCCGATAACTGCGCTAAATGAAATTCTTTTTTTTTTTTTTTTTTTTAAAGTATAGCTAGTGCGTTTGATAAGTAAGTTTTCCTTTTGGTTTTTTTTACAATGTGGGGGGGGGGGGGGGGGGGTGTGCATTAAGTGGGACTCTTGAAAAGTGCGTTACTTGTCTGCATGTTTTTTTTCAAAATTTCAGCCTCACCCGCCATCGTTTCGATATTCCTTTTTTTCAAAGGATTCATACGAAAAAACAAGTGTTTTTTAGTGGTTGCTAATTTTCTAATAGGGTTTGTCATTTCTAAGGCCCGAAAACGTCATTTCGCTATTACGTAATGTTACTATTTTTAGACAATGTTTCTGTGAAACATACATTTTTGTAGTCTATGTTTTACACAATTTACAGCTATATATTATTGTCACTAATATATATATATGTATATGCGGAAATGCATTGTTAAAATCTGTTTCCGCATATATATATATATATATATATATATATATATATATATATATATATATATATATATATATAGCAGTTACATTTTTTTTGTAAAAATCTTTCGTAAATTAAAGTTGCAGCTAATTTTATTTAGCGAGCGGTTATTGGCAAATATATATATATATATATATACATATATATATAGTTAAAATATTTATCCACATATATATATATATATATATATATATATATATATATATATATATATATATATATATATAGCAGTTACATTTTTTTTGTAAAAATCTTTCGTAAATTAAAGTTGCAGCTAATCTTATTTAGCGAGCGGTTATTGGCAAATCTAAAGCATTCAGGGGTTCGCTTAAGTCTTGACCCGTGGGGAAAGTAGGGGTGGGGCGCATAGTTTCAATACTTTTTCACCAACATTCTATTACAATTATATCAGAGCACCTTCAATGTAATTTTCCACTATATTTATTTTAAAATAAAACAATGCCTAGTTTTAATATAAATAATAATAAAGTTATAAGTATTAGTGTTCAACAAAAGCCAAAGGAGTTCACTTATTTCCCCCATTTTTTTAAAACTCTTTCTTGAACATTGGTATACGATCACATTTAAGATAGTTTCAGTTCTAATTATTTTCAATTTTCTGGTCTGCCCACGGACAACTGTTCCATAAAAGAGTGCCGACAGGGTTGAACGCCTCCACCACCCCCTTTCTACGCCACAGAGTTTCTTGCACTGGGAAGTAGAAGTGTTTTATTAGCTCAAAATAGTCTGGCACTGACTCTAACAGGATTACTCAAAATAATAAAATTTCAGTGTGTATATATATTATGTATTCAATGAAGTTGTTAAGAAGGCCGAAAAAGGTCATTTAGCCTACATTCTCTCCATACCTGATTTCTCAAAAATATATAGTCGGGAGCTCTCCAACTTTAAATTAGTTCCCGTTGTTAGTTTATTTACTGCTGACCATTGTCTAATGACGTACTCTTAAAGTTTGCTCTATAAATAGCCCCGGTAGATATTTATTTATAGACTAATTCCTAAAAAGATTTAGACTCTGCGTGTGATTGGTTGCATTATAAAGTTTACAAATTGTACACGAAAATAGCCACATTGATAGTTTCCGGTAGCATCAAAGGGGGCTCACTCTAAGTGATGAAGAAATTCGATACATATCCGATAATCCGAAACCAAGACACCTGGATTTGTTTGAGTTTTATATTATAACATCGGATCATTTTCCACAATCCTATCATAAGACGTGGTAAGAGAGTGGGTTTTTTTTTTTTAAATTGTTACCATTCCTATGCTTTAGTATTATAATAGTCAATAATAGTAGTTAATAATAGCCACTTTTTAAAGTCCAAGTGTCTAAAGTTATTCCTGCTACCCTGCTGGCCACTCTCCTTCTTTGCGACTGACTTAACACGGTTACAGTTACAGACTTTACTTTACTATTCTGAAAAAATAACTACAAAGTCCAAGTGATAAGTTTAACTAAGTTAAGTACTTTTTTACTTGAAAAAAAACCCACGTTTACTTCTTAAATAATCTTAAGACTTAAGGTAATGTACCACTTGAGCTTGGACCAAGAGAAAATCCAGTTGTTCCTGTTTGAAGTGCAATTTAAAACATTTTTTCTTATATTGGTTTCCATTAATGGTTCTGCTTTCGTATAAAGTTATTTAGCAGAATACATTTAAATACTACTAAGCTACCGATATGGCAGGAAGAAAACGATTAGAGACTACAATAGTGCAGATGAAAGAGAAGTTTGATACTGATCAGATACAAAATGAAGAAGTATTGCGGATGTCCACACTACTACTACTGCCGAATTAGTCAGACCCTAATTCAGCACTATGATGGTATGTGCTTCAATGCCTGTTAAAAAAGTATGACATGCGGTGTCTGTAATGGACTGTGCAGATTAAACAGATACGCTCAATGACAGGTTGGTCTCAGGTGGGCTTGTGCTGCATGGAGTTACAGAAATTCACTACGAGAAGGCTCTTTCTTTGCAGGAAGTCACCTCAGCATCCAGCAAATTATTATTTTAGTTTACTGCTGGTGTTGTGATAAGCCACAGTTGCAGAAGGCACGCAAGGCTGACATCTCTAATGTCACTATTGTGTCCAACTGGTGCAATTTTATGGAGGACAGGTGCGAAACCTGGCTGGCTGCGAATGCATCTGTAATTGGGGGTTTTGTTGATCAAGGAGAATCCATTGTAATGGAAATATTTCCACAGGAAATACCAGTGTGGAGAGAGGGTCCCTGGATTTTCTATGGCATGGAAAGAAAGAACAACATTACAAGAGTGCATCAAAAGATTTATTCTTCCAGGATCACTTATTGTATCCGACATATGGGGGGCCTATGCCAATATAAACCAAATAAAAAATGGTATGTATATACACTCCATTGTTGATCCAGATGACACAGATGTCCACTCACAGAATGTGGAAAACATATGGATGCGTGCAAAGCGCAAACTAAACAAACAGTTTGACACAAGCCGCGATCTTTTCCCTTCATATTTACATGAATTCATTTTCTGCAACAGTTTTTGTGGAAATGATATTTTACAAACTTCATTGTCACCTTGAGGGGGAATTGTGCATAATTTCATTTTCACACATTAAATTCAAATTGTTTAAAACCTTCTATTTAAAAAAAAAAAATTAAATTGTTTTAGTTTTCTATTTAAATAAATTTTTTAAATGAGATAGGAAATATAAGTCACACCGGATAGTGAAAAAACCTGAAATAAGGCGAAACAAAATAATGAACATGGTGGCAAAAAGCCTGGTAAACATTCAATAGTGGGTTAGCAATATAGGTTTTGCCAAGAGTTGTCTCTCCCTAAGCGTAATGATTTCACTTTGGGGAATCCCAACATTGAACTAGAGTGAGTAGATTAATTGTTAAACCTAAACGATATGTATGATAACTTTCCCATTCTTCAATGAGCATTTACAGTTAATATGAAATATATTAAAATAAAAGTTTCCATTTTTTAAAACTAAAATTCAACTTACAAGGTTCAAAAGGAATGAAAAAAGAAGCTCTTTTGTGCTGATACCTTAAAGTGGATGCGCATCGCTAAAAGTAAACGTGCCTTTTTTTTTTTATATTGGTTGAGAAAACAACCATATGCCATCATGTATATCATGTCGCCATTTCATGTTAAATTTCAACATAATTTCTGTGGAGGGTCTCCCCCACTTTCAATTCCAGTATAAAGCTAGAAACAATTTTCCGGGGAGAGTAGACCCATTCCCAAAAACAAAAAAATAAAAAATAAGAAAAAAATGTATCAAATAAATACAGAGCTAAAATTCTAAATCTTTTAATTATTACAGAACTATTGCTGGAAGGTGACTAGGGGAAGACATTGCCTGATTTATCAGTAATCCAGTTGTAGCCAAAAGCTTGCATGAGAGAAGAAAAAAAGGTACAATTCAATCAAATAGAGAATAAAAATCTGAAAAAGTTAAAAGCAACTTGTCTTATGCTGTACCCAAAAAATATTTACTAAATGTTTTTTGTAATTCACACTTATTATTTCCAAAAATGATAATGTCTTTTTTTAAAGCGCTTTTTTATTTCTTTTTCATAATTATACTTCTTATTAAAGGGATTATTATTTTCCCTATCAAATATTGACTAATTTATTTGGTGGTTGTGATTTGTCATATTTTCTACTTCTTTGACAGCATGTATGTGTCTATTTAAATATTTACAGAGCTGATCTGCATTACAATAACAAGATGGTTTGGAAACTAAGTGATTTATGCCTACAGTGTGTTCAGCAGCATTTACATAGATATCAAGATCTTGGATCCAATCTAACAACCTTACACAAGGAGATGCTTATTGAAAGACTTGCTTGTCATGACCTTTTCTTCCCAGAACGTTTAGTTCATATACAAAATAATCTTTTCACACCTTCCCTGAGACATATAAATTTACAAAGGTAATAGCTTAATCATAAGTTATTTATTTAATCATTGTTTCTTTAATGTTTTATTTTACAAAAGTACAGTTGAAAGGCATACTTTGTATTTCATTTAGTTGGAGAGTCTTCCACTTTCACCAACTAAAACTTCTTTATATTTTTTCAGGTGCTCACAAATAACAGATTCAGTCCTTCAGCTCCTCGGTCATTCAGGGTGTAAACTGGAAGTCCTTGTTTTAAATAGGTTGGACAATGTAACAGGTTAGTTTAGTGCATTATAAACAGTATATATAAACTTCACGCTGTCATTATGAATTAAATGAAGAAAAAAAACTTAAAAATAAAACTTGAAGATTCTACATAAATATCAGTTACTGTCTTTTTATTATAGGCTTCTTTATATGTTTTGTTAATATATATAACAAAATTATATTAAGTAATGCTTAAGATACTAGTATAGTTGTTTGCATAATATTATTTAATTGATTGATTACTGCAGACTCAGGGATCCAAGCAGTTACCAGAGGTCAGAATGCACTACTGGTTCTACACCTCAAGTACCTAAAACAAGTTACACAAAACATTTTGACCCACATTGTGGCACCGAAAATGTGGACACTTAAGCTTGTACATTGTTACAACCAGAGCAAGGCGTGGGTTACTTCTGCTGGTGAGTACATTTTCACTTTTAGAAGGGATAAGAAAATGAACATGCGCATTTATCCTTAATTTTAAATGTATTTGATTGTGGTCACTTTATATTATATTTTCCATAAAATTATACATAATTGTTTTGGTGAGTTTTATCTAATTTTTTTTTTCTTTTGTAGATTATTAAAATTATCTGAATAAATATATTGCAGGACATTTTTTTGCCTGCCGAAAAACAATCTGTTTATAGCTTTCAAAAATGACTATTTTTATAAATTAAGAAACTCTAGCACTAGAAATCAGCTTAATTACCCATGACTTGAAGAAAAATTTTTTTATACCTTTGTATTTAAAAACACAAACAATAATTGATTGAATAATAATAGTATCCTCATTTCAGTTTTGTCAACATTCCTTTCACACAATCCTTCCATCAAGATTTTGAAAATATCTTTACCACATGAATTCATTCCTGTTATTGCTAGGGGATTAAAATGCTCTTTAGTAAGTATTTATTTTTTAGTGTATAGATGTTCTTAATTGCAGTTAATTTATAAATCTTCAAACTCTAATGTGTGTTTGTCTTAAAATATATATGATTAAACATGTAAACACACATTGCAATTGCTATCAAAAGAGACAAATGAAATGTTGTTCAGTTATTAATTATTTTCTGAAATAAATCTTAAGTTAATGGTAGTTATTTGTGGTAAGTTCATAGGGCAATGTGAGCAGCAGCCTCTTTCCCATAAGAAAAAGTTAAAACTGTGCCTTTTTTTGGAAAAAGAAATATTTGTATAGTTTTATTCTATGTATTTTCTGCCAGTGTCAATATTTAAACAATCAGGCTAAGCCACCGGTTAATTTTGTAGATGTTATAATTTTAAAACTTTTATTTTGTTACATTTTGTCTAGGAAAGCACAATTTTAAAACATTTATTAATTATATGGTTAGTATTTAACTGTTTGTAGTTGCCCTTTATCAAATATTTTCATTTAGCATTTATTGCATTTTCAATTTGAAAGTACATAAGTGTTAAATTCTCTTCTTGATAAGTTTTGGATAGTAGCAAATATAAAAAAAAAAATAAAAATATTTTGATATTTCTTCTCCAAGGAAGAACTGAACACAAGTTTTCAGCTTGTCACAGATGACGGTATTGAAGCATTATCTGAGAACTGTTCAAATTTAAAGAAGTAAGATAACAAAAATCATACAAATGATCAAATAGATTTTGTTTGCATGGAAAAGGAATGGATAAAGTTAGGATTTTTAAGGGTATCATCTGTATAAAAAAATACTTATAAAAGTATTGAATGAAACTTCTCAGTCCTTGGATTTACCCCATATTGGCTTTTAAATAATGGTAATCATTTGAGACATGAGAGGACTGAACACTGTAAGCATTTTTCTTGTTGCTTTGAAGACAATTATTATGAGACGACAATGGTAAAAGTGAAGAATAGTTACCACATTGTTGTTCACTTAATGTTTCAAGAACACAACAATATACCAGGAAATGACAGAGCAAACTAGCAAACCAGAGAGCATCTAATGGACAGCCAAACATACCTACATCACACAACACTGCGAAGCAGATTATCGGGAAGACGTGTTTTCACACACACATGCCCAGTCCTGACCCCAAAGATCAAATAAATTCTTTCCATAGACACAAACAGGACATAATCCTTCATCTGCACGGCACATACAACTTAATTCCCACCATATCCGCATAAAACCAGATAAAACACCAACGTCCCTCCTCTGCGGACATTGAAATGAGAAACTAACCGCCTGTCACTTCAGGACTTTCGTTTAAACTCCCTACCAAAAACATCAGACAAACAAAGTCAGCTGGGAAGAGTGTTTAAATTCATCATCATGGCCGCAGGCTGAAGGGAACATGCCCAAATGGGCACAGGATCTGAATGATGATGATGAATGTTTGAAGCATCATTACAATGACTGGTGTTGTGTTAACAAAAAAAGTCATAGTTTTGTCAGATTTGCTTTGCTGAATTGTTTCATTATAAAGTTAAAAGTTAAAGTTAAAAGAAAAGAAAATTTTCATAACTTTCTATGATGCTTAATTGAGATATACATGATTTTATTAACTATAGTCAGGTAATTCATGGAATTATTTTTACGGCTATTGTGGAATTATCTTTATAGTTATCATGAAATTATCTTTATGGCTATCGTGGAATTATCTTTATAGTTCTCATGGAATTATCTTTATAGTTATCATGGAATTATCTTAATTCATTTCTATCTTCAACACTTTTGCAGGCTTGATCTTAATGGAGCAAAATCTGTAGGCAAAGAATCATTAATAAAGGTAAACATGAAAACCTAAAATTTTGTATAAATCAAATATTAATAACTTTTCAAAATTGCCTACCAATGTTTTTGATGTTACCTTGTTTAGTTTAATGGGTTTTAAATTTGTGAGTTGTAATTTTGTTCATATTAATTGTCAACCCACTTTTCCACATCAACCTGAATTGATCTTCTTTATAAAACACAGATTCTGATGTGCATTATAATATCCAACAAAATACATGCGTAAAGCAAGATAGTTTAAAATCATATTCTTGTTTACAGTAGAGTTACAGAACTTTGGCGAGCATCTCTTTCATGAACATTCTTATTCCAGCTCTTTCAAGCGTGTACACAGATGGTGGATTTGGATTTAGGGTACTGCACTCGAATTTCTTCACCACCAGAGTGTGAGGTTTTGTGGACACTTCCTCAATCTCTGACCTCCCTCTCCTTGTGTGGCATGATGCTGCAAGACGAGAAGATTCTTGTAGAGTGCATCACAAGATTACCACGCCTGACAAGTATAAAACTGTGTGGTGTCCCAGCCCTAACAGATGAAACACTGGAACAGGTGAATGGAATTAAGTATTGGAAACTTTTAACAAGATAATAGTGGTTCGGTATCAGCGCTGTTTATAGCCGGGTGCGCATTATTTATCAGTATAGAAGGGCACACAAATGGTTAGAAAAGTTGTTGTGGACTTTAAGATTAACTTTGAAATAATTTTTTTTCATTTTATCATCAGATTGTAGCAAAAATTGGTCACCGGCTGTTAGATTTAAACTTAAGTGGAATCGGTATCAATGAAATCACAGACAAAGGTCTAAAGGCTGTCTCCAAATACTGCACCCACTTAGAAGCTCTTCACATAAGCATGCTCCGGGAAGTTACTGGAATCACTCTTTTGCCAATATTTGCTGATCCTGAGAGAGCATCGAGGTTAAAGACCCTTGCTGCTAACTGTAAAAAGGTGGAGAATTATAAAAATTATTGTTTTCTTATGAAGGAAAATAATTTCAGATATGAACTCCAGTGTGTAGCAGATGCAGGGTTTAAAAAAATCTGTAATTAATATCCTGTCTTTTCCCTTCTTGTTAAAAAAATCAAAATTTGAGATCTAGAAGAGGAGAAAATTTATTAGGGAGATAATGTAACTTATTTGTATCATTTAGTTTTACAGCAATACCATTGTTTACCAAAATTTGCCTTCGCTTTTATGGTTTCTTTGGGTTTAATTAGCAAACCTATATTTATATATTTGTTTCAGATGGATATTAATTTGTTGGACCAAATCATGTACAGCTGCCCTAATCTTGACATGCTTGATGTGTCCGGCTTGAGTTCAGTGACTGATCAGATGATTATCACCCTTGCTGACCATTCCCCAAAGTTGACCCAGCTAAATCTGAAAGGGTGTAAGCAGGTCAGATTTCTTTCTCTTGCATCACTGGTTAATGATGTTAGGAAATGGAGGCATTGTTTGTAGTGATAAATGTCTTTGCAGTTCAGAAGAGCTGAATTTGTACAACTTAAATCTTTGAAAAATGTGCACAATTATTTTTTTTATATTGCCCAAAGACTTAACAAACATTGAAAACGTATTTGCTTTTTAATAATTTGAAATAATTTGCAACACTTTTCTAACAATTAAGGTTACAGATGCTGCCATTTGTTACTTGAGTGGATGTTGTCCCCTCAAGAGCATGTGTGTCTCTGGTCTCCATGCCCTTACAGACAAGAGCATCTTTTGCTTGGCTAGCAGCTGTCCACAGCTCGAAGAGATTTATCTAAATGGTTGTGCCCATATATCACCTGTGGCTGTGCAGTACTTGAAGGTATAAAAAAAATATGCTTTGATTCTTTTTTTCAAATAAATTCAAACATAGTTTTTAAAAAATTGAATGGAACTAAATAGATTGACATAAAATTTAGAACGTCCCTGATTATTCAAGTTTACTTGTTGCCATTGGGCTTAAAGCATTCCACCACCAATGTTGCACATTCACACTTTCCAGAAATATGCCACAATATATGCATAGTTATCCTGATATTTATTCTAATCTCATTATAAATCACTAACAAAAATGTGTAAGTAAATATTATAATATTATAATTTATTAAGTTCAAGAGACAGCATACACATATTATTAAGTAGACCAAGAATATTCTTTTCACTTTTATCAAGACACTTAATTTTATTGATAGCTTCTAATTGTTTATGTATATATTTTTTCCTATTCAGGACCGCTCTCTAAGGAGGCTGTATGTAAAACATAATATACCAAACGCCAGCCCTAATCAACTTATGGCTAAAAATTTAGACACTGGTGAATTCTGCCGTGCTGATCTTTTATAGGATTAAAGACATTTTGTTATAAAAATAAAAATTCCATTATTATTCCATGATGACATATGGCATAAATATTGAAGATTTGGAGTAATGAAGATTTTCGCATAATGAAAATAATATAACAATGATATAAAAACTAAGTAGCCGCTGCTAACAACTAGCAACTCTCCTTCTTTATTATTAATGGGGCTGCAATAATTCAACTAAAGGTAATGTTCACACTGTGGCTTTGTTGCAGCCACAAAGCTCAGTAATGAATCACTGTTGAGAATCCATGACACAGATATCCACAGAGGTGTTCACACTGAGCAGGTGCGGTTACCGGAAATTTGTTTGAAAGAACTTTCCGGATACGAGCAGGCACAAGTATGGCATCTGATGCAGAACTTTTGTTTATATTTATCAAAGGTATGTGCTAATGAAGTGATCCGCAACCTGCCACTCCATGTGGCTATTTAAAATAATAAATTAGGATTTTTTTTTCTTTTAAATATTTTACAAATAGCCACTTATGCAAGGAAAAATTAAAACATAATTTTAAAAAAAATATCTTTAATTAATTACATTTTGTTAAAACAAGACATTATTTATGTAAAAAAAATTCTTTTCTTACCCACTCCAATAAAATCAAACTTGAAATTTGTTTCATAAAATTTAATCTTGGAACTATAAAATATGGCTACCATAGATTACGACATTTGTAAACAATTCGGATGATATTAAATTCAACATATTTTTTTTTACCACTCCATTCTCTATCGGTTGCTATGCTACTGTCAACTGATAATAATAATAATAATAAGTGGTCTTATACAGCGCGGTACCCCAGCCTAGGGCTGGGCTCACTGCGCTGTACATAAATGTGCATTGATAGCGTAGCTTTTTTTAATGTATATGGCTAGCATACAGTATACCACAGCAGTCCAAAACCCAGTGGAAATGAAACTTGGTGGCCCCGTATTTATTGCAGCAAGTAGCACGTGGTCAAAGAAAGTTGAGACTCCAATAACAAATCTGCAGTGTGAACGTAACTTAAGAGTTCCAGTTAAAAGTTTTTTTTTTTTTATTTTTAAACAAAATTATCTAATAGAAAAGCATAATAATATAACTACTATATACATGTAACTGTAAGGTCTATAATTTATTATAGATTTGTCAAAATATATTTGGAGAATGGGTGCAACAATAATGGAAATTAAGCAAAAAAATAACTTGGGGCTTTAAATTATTTATTTCAAACTTTTGAGCTGTAGCTTCAGCTATAACTTAGGGTTCTAACTAAATAGTACAACCCAAACTGCTTTGTTTATAAACAAAAACAAATATTTTTCATATTTTTTTCAAACCAATGGCTTCTTTTATGTATCCTGCTGAATAATTCAACGTAGAAATTTATTGAGACACAAATTTTTTAAAATCTTAACAATTAAAGTACCGTATATAAATAATCAATAAGTTGTGTCAAAAAGAGGTAACCATTGTATATTAAATAATAAGGTAAATCGTGATGTCAAACTTTATTACATAAAAGCTGACATCAAAAAAGAAATTTATATTTGTTGTGCAAAATGACCTGTATGAGTTTTAATATCACTCATTAGAGAAGTAAACAAAACTTGTTCTGAAGATTTCTATGGAAATTTGTGAGTTTTCTGTGTAAACAATAGTGATAGCTAAGTGTTAAAATCTCCACACATGAAAATGTTCTATTCTGAACTCTCCCCCCTCAGTGATTATGTTATATGAACCCCTTATTCCTGTCATATTTTAAAAAAAAAAAATTCTATATAGGCAGTCAGCTTAAATATTTTAAATAAAATCTTTTGATTAACTTTTGACAAAAAGTACAGTTTTCTTGCATCATACATTTAAACATAAAAATCCTTCTTGAGTTTTCAATGACAGATAATAAAAATTATTATTATTATTTATACATTCATTGATTCAACCCATGTTGTGTGAACTTGCTTATTGGCAGTTCAGTGGTCTATACTTAACAATCGTTCCATACAAAACTTTTTCACATTTTTGTTTATGTGTACCAAAAATATCTGTGATATTAATTTTGAATGTCTTAAATATTTTATTTTCATTAATCTTTGTTTTCTATAAAAAAATGATTATAACCACAGGTACCATGTGTTTGATACTCTTCAAAAATATTTTATACATGTCTAAATCTATGTTAATGAAACCAAGCAGTGAATACAATTATCTAAAAATTTTACATTGTCTAGTTTATCAAAATCTGGAAGGCATCTTCATCCTATTGTCTCTGGTTATCATAGAGCATATTTTGCATCATTCTTTCTATTATAATTACTCTTTCAGATTATTTTCTTCTGGTAATTTTTTTTTTATTTCTAGCCTCATGCACTTGACAAAAAAATTCTCAAATAATTCATTAATGCAAGTCATCTTGAATAATTTGGTTTAAACATTAAACAAGTCAAACCTTTCATGTGTCCCCTTTAACTCTGTGAAATGATATACAGGGGTCTCATTTCCCTCTAGTTTCTCCTGTTACAACGACCGATATGATTTTTATATTTTTTATATATAATTCCATTTTTAAATTGTACAGTTTGCTGTTTTTGTATGACAGAAATGTGTCTCATTTGGAGGTGTCCCCCAATTTATTTTCCTGTTTCAAACTTTGAACCTGCAGTTATTGCTGTTAAGAAAGTGCTTTTAATTTAAAGTGAGACAAGATTAAACGCAAGTGCATGTCCTATGATTAAACTGCTGTGACTTAATCCAACGTTGTGAGTAATGAACTTTTTTATTCTGTTGTCATGCTTTCAATTTATGATATGTTTTTTTTCTTACAGGTAAATTGTTTGCTTTAAGTAAAAAACTCCATTTTATAGATATAATAATGTCCATTATTTAGAAATGATTTGATAACCTATTTGTTTATTCATAGTCAATTTCAAGTGCCTGTTCATATTTGGCAGCTCCATCAGAAGCAATACAAACATAGCTTACTATTTTACCTGCATTTGTATATTAATAAAATAATTAAAATGATTTCTTTGCAACCCACAATAAAATTGCATACAAATTGTTCTCTTTGTTCAAATTGCACATTTCTGTACACTGATCTTAATTATTTATTTTTTTTTATGATAGATTAATTTCACCAAATGACAATCACAATCTTGCTTATTAACAGTAATCAAGGATTCAAAGATTGTGTGAAGCAAAGAATATCAGGAATAAATCATTAATTTTTTCAATCGCCTCAATATTATTTTAAGAATTTCATGCGCCATAGGGACTCACAGCATGCAAATGAACTGCTTCCCAAAGTACATGGACTCTATTAAAAAATCAACATAATTGTCAACTATTTGCTGGTAAACAAAGTGAATTAGTGATACTGGTGTAATTTAAATAGTTGCTTCACTCAACTCCATTCACTTTTACATCCTTTAAGTCTAAAAAAGTTATAAATGAAAATGGCTGGAGATAGGGGCAGCAATCTGTCGTGATGCCACCAGTGGTGAAACAGTTACATGAAATTTGAAAGGAAATTGTTAAAACAAGGTATAGGAAAACAAATGATTAAATTTAACATAAATTATTATATCTATTTTTTAAAAATTATGATTATATTATTAAATTTCACAATAAGGCTTACAAAAATCGGAAACCTAATTTTAAGAATCCAGTTTTGGTGGATATACAGCTAGTGCTCTACTTACAACCATGATTGGTTCCGACAGACCGGTCGTAACACGATTTGGTCGTAAGTTGAGTACGCTATGTGTAAGTAATGTGAAGTGATGTTATAAAAATATTTAAGTTAAATTATATCATAAATTTCTTTTATTGTTATAAATCATAATTGTCGATGTTCATGACCACCTATGATTGCAGAAAATGCAGTTCGACCGATAATTGAGGCATAAATAAATCTGAAATCTACTACAGTATGGCCAGTGATCGTGGTCGTAAAGTCTAATGTTTGTAAGTTGCATAGGTCGTAAGTCGAGCACTAGCTGTAATGGGATAAGGCCTTTTTTTAGAAAAATGAGGGTGGGTGTTCAGATTTGAACAAATTGGGAGCTTTTGTTTGTTCTTTAAGGTAACAATAATGTTACATCCTCTATTAAGGGCTGAGATTAATCTCTTATAGCCTGGGCAAAATGTAATATTTTTTAATGTGATCTAAGTGTGCAATTTATCTTGCAGAACTTTTTCATCTACTACCACAGTCCATATACAAAGTTTAATCTTTTAGCATAACCTAAAAAAACGGGTCACTCTTCATTCTGAACTTAAAAACTCTTTATTGCAATTTAGCTTCAGATACTGCCTTACAATATCATTATTAAAGACCACACATTTTTCTTTTTAAAGACAATTTATTAGCATCATTGTGCAGACAAAAATCATCTACTATAAGTACGTGTACACTGTTATCTCCAGGAGACAAAATTTTTTTTAAAATCAAATAGCAACAACAAATTACAATCAAATATATAAACATAAGACAGGGCAAACCTATCACCAGTGAAAAAATAAATGCCTTATATGTATCATCAGGTAAGAAATGTAATCAAACTAGACATATTTTGAAGGGACACATTTTAGGATATTTTTTTTAAAAGGATTTTATTTTGTTTCTATAACGCAATGTTAAAAGTTGCCTTCTGTTTGCAAGGGCTGCAGAGTAGGAATATTGGCATTCATTTCAGGAGATGAAGGAAGGCTCTATCTGAAACATACTTAAAACTGTAGTGTGCTCATAACCTTAGGTATTTTGCAATCAACGGCCAGGTTTAATAATATTTCAATCCATCTCATGTTTAACTGCCTTTCTCCAAAACTTAAACTACAAACTGCATGTCTCACCCAAAACACAACCCCTACACCTCCAGAGAATCACAATCCTAATTTTTCTACCTCATAACAATTTGAGATTTTTAAAATATACATTTTTTGTGTGCTAAGATTTGAACTACTGTGCCACATTTCCAAGTAAAAAATACATTATAATGAATTCTGAGATAGAATGAACTATCAGTGAAAACTACCCTCCTAAAATAAAAATGTCAGTGAAAACACCAACAATGTCACAGGTGCTGTCAATCATCAACCTTTTTTTAGTTTTATCTAAATCAAATTTTCCAACTCAAACCAAAAAATATTTTTACATAATGTTGTATGATCATAAATAAATACACTTTGATCTCTGATTTTGAAAAAAAAAGTACGGACTATATGTTGTAGGTACAGTAAATTTAATACTATTAGTATTAATGAGAAATAAGATGGATCATCATAAAATGACTGTTGCACATAAATTTAATAGAAATATGAGAAACAAGACATCTGCTAATACTAATACTAAAATTTTTAATTTCATTTCTGGGTAAAGCTTAACTTACACAAGTAGTACAAATTTATTCTTTGCACAAAAAAAAAATTAATGCAGGGAAATAATTAGCCTAGGAATGTAAAGGACTAATTTTGTGCATTAAGATATACATAATAAAACTTCACTGCAAAGAGGGAAAAAAAAAATGGACACATGGCAATAAACTGTCCAACAATCACCAATGATTGGAGAACATAATATATCAAATGAAAACTTGATGTAATAGATGACATGAAAGGTTGTTTGGTTTTTTTTTTTAAATATATTGATTTATTTTCTATTTCTTTTCCAGCTCCTCATCAAACAAATCATTGAGATAATGTGCTAAGATTATGTTAAAGTTACCAATCAATGTTCTTTTCTTTAATATAATAACAACATTATTTTGTACAAATATAATAAGTTTTCACAAATGTTTAAACAGTTTCAATGACATAGGGACGCCACCCCTAAAGCCATACAGTTGTGATGCAGATACAGATTTCTTTGTTAAACCTCAGCCCAGTTTCATTCATATATACCCAATTTTTCATGGATTTCCTTAATTTTAAAACAAGGTTCATGAACAAAAATGTACATGTATACAAAACACCCAACCACCAAAGAAAAAAAAATTGGAAAAAACAGCAGAGCGGGAACAATTCAACTTTACATGTGAGCGGTTAGAAATCTCTTCCTACCAGATCACTCCCATTTTACATACAGTTTGTCATGCATCTGGTAAAAATATTTAAAACCTTTTGTTGTTTTTTTTAAATTTATATACACAGCAACAATGAGTTGATTTTATTCACAAACTTACATGACTTCCTTGAAATTTTCTTCAACATCCATAACAACACCATGAAGTTGTATTTCAAAATGCTCGAACTCTATACACTGAGACTACTAATAAATATGCATATTTTTTTTTAATTGTACAACATGTAAAAGTGCTGAGGCTGTAAACAAAGGTATCACACAAAAATAATAACTTATCAATATTTAAATTATTTGGATAAAAAACTGAACAGTGTTAATGTTAATCCACCATCCTCACATTTATATCTTTGTATACATTTTATTGAATATTTTAAAAATGTCTTTTAACATATTTTTATTATATACCGTTCAAGAACAAATTTCAGAATCAAAATACATAACTTTGAGTTATTAACATAAGAATATTATTTTCTTCATTTCTCTTAAAACTTAAAGTATTGCTTTCAATTTTGTGAAATCATACCAAAGCTGATAAAATAATTATTTAAAAAAAACATTTCTCTGTTTATTATTACGCTAGTGCTAGTTTAGATTGATTGTTAATGAAGTTTTACTTAAAACCTTTTGGTATTTTATTTTTCGTCAATATTTCCTGTCAAATAAGTCATTGAAAATAGCACTAAAAAATAAATGTTGAACAAACGGACAACAGAATTTTTTTGAAAAACTTATAAATACAATTGTTTGCAAATTGGTCTAGGACAGTGGTTCCCAACCGAAGGCTCAGTAAGCACTCATCAGGACCTATGGGGCTGCTCCAGGAAACTCCTTAACACTATTAACTTGTTAGACATAAAATTAAATTTAAGAAGGGCTTTGTGAGTTAAAAAGGTTAGGTCTAGCAGACCAGACCATCTGTAGGATCAAATTATTAGGATGGTGCATAAGGTTACCGGAAATTTGTTTATATGAACAACAGTATTACTTACAGATCTGAATATAACTATTTGAAAAAGGTTGTAATTCACATCATCATTCAGTGTTGTTGAAATTTATGAGTTTCAACATATCATTAATACAACTACTTGGATCACTATATGGAAATTCGTGTTTTTTTGTTAATTTTAAATTTATGAATGTACATGACTAAATTAAAAAATGAAATGCCTTCAGAAAACTTAAAAGCCTAACAATTAGTATACATTAAAAAAATTAAACCATAGAGTCAAAATTAAATCTAATTTCAAAATCACTATATCTTCACAACAGGCATATCAAGAAAATGCAAGGGTATTAAACATTTGCTAACAATTTAAAAATGTTAAACTAGAAAATCATATTTATCCAAATAAAAAATGGAATATCAGAGCAGTGTAAAATGATGTTGCTTTGGGCAAAGTGCAGCATTGTCAAAAAAACAAAAATAGTAATGAATATGAATCCAGATAAAGAAGAACATGATATTATGTCTGATAGACTAAAGTTAATGGCAATTTTTTTCTCTCCAAAAATTCAAACTTTAATTTACAAAATTTAAATAGCAATACCCCAAAATTAAGAGTCATATATGACATATGGCTAACTTGGGACTTAAAACATTTTATTTTTACATCTCCTTAAATTTAAATGAATGTTTTCATCTCTAATCCAATTTTGAGTTATTTTGAAACATTTTATTTTTTAAAATAAAGTTCTCTATATATTGCATAGTAACATCAATATATGCTCTAGACAGAACAATTTTTATCATTATTAAATTTGTACAAATATAATAAGTTTTCACAAATGTTTCAACAGTTTCCATGACAAAGGGACGCCACCCCTAAAGCCATACAGTTGTGATGCAGATACACAAATATTATTATCACAACTACCTCCAAGCAGATTTGAAGTGCCTTATGAAATGGGCGGACAAATGGGGCATGAAATTTAACGAAACCAAATGCTACACAATGAGCATCTCAAGAGAAAAACCATTAACCTATATGTACTCTCTAAACAAGACCATTCTCCAACAAGTATCAAATAATCCATACCTTGAAATTCTCTTCTCGAATAATCTAAAATGGTCACCCCATATAAACAAAATTTTTAAAAAAGCCAACTCCACACTTGGTTTCATACAAAGAAATCTGCGCCACTGCCCAACGGCCTGCAAACAAAATGGCTATCTCGCACTCGTCCGTCCATACTAGAATACGGTGCGATCATCTGGGACCCATACCTCCATACCTAAAGCAAGACATGGACAAGATGGAGCAAATACAGCGTAACGCAGTGCGCTTCATCGCAAGTGACTACAAATCCACCACTCCTGGCTTCGTCACTGACCTCTTAAAAAGATCTGAATCCCCTCCCTCAAAGACAGACGAGAAAAGCTCCGTCTAACATTCCTATATAAAGTGGTCAAGGGGCTAGTGCCGGCCATCCCAGCTAACACGTATTTCTCCCCACAGAAGCGAGATCATTTAATCAGAGCCAAACGCTCAATAAACACTGACTTCACCTCTGACAACTCCATGTTACATCCGGAACAATAGTAAATGCTTCACTGAGCCTCGGTGTAACACAGTCCAATATAAACAATCATTCTTCCCACGAACAATAATTGCTTGGAACCAACTGGACAATGCCGCTGTGGATTGACATCAATCGAGAGTTTCAAGGCTGCTCTGGCACCCGCTAGGAGCCGTTGGGATAGCCGCATCGTTTCCCAAACCGTTGCACATATGCAAGAACATGGATGCACATATGCCAGTACATGGATGCAGCAACGTACTCTATCAGAACTTGAATGATAAAGCTTATACACTAAATTTGATTTAAAAAACCAAAGAGTGGGACATGACATATGAAATCTAGGATGTTGGAAGCAAAACAACATATGTAGTACAACTATTGTATGTAAGAGATTGTTAATTTTTTTTTCAACAACAGCCTTTGTTTATCAACAGCCGAAAAGCATCTTGACAAAAACAAAACATCAGATAAGAATTTTGGTTCAAAGGATAAGATTGGATCTCCGATAACGTTGTTTAGATTTATAGTACATAACAGGATATAAATTTAAAAAGGATGAATATGAAAATGAACAAATAAATATAGATACATTAAACATGATTTTAAAATTCTTTTATCAAGAATGGTGATGATATTTAAGTAGGAAATGAACACTTGCATTCATAAATTTTAGAATACTTATATGAAATCAGGTTATTTACACACATTTTTGGCATAAATAAGACGATATTTAAACCTTTTCCGTTAACTGAAAAATTCCCTGGAGAGCAGTAAATTTTTACACTGAAAATAATCAAAGCCACCGACAATAGTCATTTTTTGATTTAAAAAAAAGAACAAGAAAATTTAACAACCTCAATGTTTAAAAAGTGCAATAAAAAATGTGAGTATAGCACGTCACTTTCCAGTTCAAAAAAAGTATTTCCAATTTTTAGTTAATGACCATTCCTTACGTAAGTTGGAAATACATTTTTACATCAGAAGGATCTTTTCCACTAATGTGAAACTATATATGAAAGATTTTTCAAAATGACAGATAATATAAGTTAAAAATATTTAAAATGATAATTTTTTACAATTTTAACAATCAATTAAATTATTAATCTTGTCATTTAACAGAAGCTTTTGAAATTAAAAAGAAAAGAGCTGGTTGATTGCTAAAAGAATTGGACACCACATTTGATATTAAAGTAAATACAAGTTATTTACAGCATTTAAAAAAACAGAAACAGGAAATATAAAAGCACCAGCAGGAAACCTGTATCCAAGTAATAGTGCTTTCATTGCATTACAGAAACAAATATTATATTCATTTCTTTTGATGGGACTAATTATCATACAAACAATTTAAAAATCTGTAAATCAAATTTTTTAAAATTAGGTTATATTATTTAGGAATGTTCTTACAAATTAAATAATCAGCTGCATTCTTGTGTCAATAGTATGTTGATGAACCCTGATGAATTTATTTCATTGTAATGGAATCTACATAGCACATTTAGAAAACATGTTTTTTTTCAAAATAAAAAAATTGTCATGGGTAACGTAGTGATAGTAAACATTTACATATATATAATTCAAGTTATTATATTTCAAAAAATGCCCATAAACATAAAGTTAAACCCAATTATGCCAAGTCCAGAGGAATTATAATTTTTTTCAATAGAGACTTGATCCAATCACCTACATTTGGATCATGTATATGTGCAGTCCTACCACTAAGGGTATGGAAGGAATAATTTAATGAACCGGTAAATTGGTATTTCTAATTATACAAAATATTATATGCTAAATCACATTTTATTACTTGTGTAATTTTCTACTTCAATACATTGGTATTTAAACTACCGGTAAATATTTTTCTTTCTTTTCTAAAAAAATAATAAATCATGAAAGCAAAATGTTTCAAAATGGATCCTAAAACAATTTTATCTTCTCACATTTACCAAAAATTTACATTTCTTTTGATTTATTTGGGAACTCCATTTATGAACTGAAATTCAATGTTATTATACTAGGTTGTATAATTAAAACTGCCATGGCAATCACATATGAGTGACAATGTAGTGGAATCATTTCAGATGTTAAAAACAAATCATATTTACAGTGATTACACAGTGTATCCCCCCCCCCTCCCCCCACCCCCCAACATTTTTTTCATGAGAAATATTTCTTAACACAGCATCAAAACCTGTGAGATTTAGAATGAAAGAATGGGTTTCAAGCAACGTGGACTAAATTAACTGAGGCTTACATGTACACAGGCTGACTTGCCAATAGCTGGAATTCCAGAGCACTCATTACAGGAGAGTGGCAGTGCATTTAGAAACAAATCCTTCTCATAAACTGTACCTTCCCCACTGCCGCCTGTTATTTTGCTTGTTGATGGAATTTTTGGTATACCAGAGTTTGGTGTTATATTGAGTGGGCGATAGTGGACCCAAGACATGCTGCCCTGAGGCACCCATGAAAACCCGATGCTCTGACATGTGGTTATAAATGAGGCATCCTTAGTTTTGATGAAACCGTAGACTGTCAGGTTTTTGTCCAAGAGCTTGCGGGTCAGGTCCCTCAGGAGAACCACACCCAGGTTGTCACCGTGAAATTCTGGATCCACAAAAAGGTTGGCCATTGCTCCATTATACTGCATGCATATATAGGCAACCAGACGACCTTCTTTAGTGACGATGGCACTGCTGTCAAAGTTTTCAATAACTTGTCGAAAGTACTCCACAAGACCATCATTCGTGCGATAGTGCTTCCAGTGATCACAGACAGTTTCAGCATGTTCCCTTTTCAGTACTGTCAACTTCAGGTGCTCTGGAACTCTGGGAAAAAAAACGATGACACAGCTTATGTTCAAATAATAGAGTATGCTGAGATGATACAAGAAATCTAGAGGCTGGATTAAACATCTATTTTAAATTTCTCAATCTTTGCAAGGAGCGTTCAACACTTTTTTAGTTTGTAAATTGTAAAAATTTGAGACATTGAAGAATAGCGCTGATAGTTGTTGAAAAAAAAAAATATTTAAAATACTTGTATTCAAATACTTTCAAGTCACATTTGACATATCCTCCCCACAATAGCAATTTAAACTTGTATGCTTGAAGTAAAAAAACATGCCGAGAGGATTAGCTCATAACATTTGCAAGAATTTCATCCAAGTTAAGGAAGTACAACCAGAAAAATCAAATGTTAACTTACACAGCCGGTTCAGGGGGATCTGGTTTCATCCATGCGTACATGAATCTGTGTTCCACTGAAGTGACTTCTCCGAGTTCTCTTCTGCCCTTTTCTTGAATTAATCCCACAACATCATAAGGAACCCCTGTTCAAAATGTTATCATTGAATATTGCCTACTTGCATTTTTTAAAATCTTTTGTGTATTGTAATGATTAAGTATTTGTTAAACAATAATTCTATGCTATTTCATTATAAAAAAAAACAGGAGGAAAAAAACAACTGCTATTTTATCCTTCTAACCACCAAATTATGGCTTGTTCTGTTACAAAGATTATAAGTAAACAAACACTCTTTTATGCTTCCTTCCATTAACCTCCTCCACCCATTAAATCATACACCAAGTTTTTTTTCTTCTTTTTAATGGCTTCAAAAGTGTGTGAGTTTGCACTAAGCAGTCAATAATCTTTTGATCATTTCCCCCTAAATTGAACCTTCTTCTTTATGTCATAAGAAGGTTCCACTTCAGCCAGTTTTCAATAGCTCTACAAATATTACAAAGATTAGTTACAGTACCTGTGAAAATTGCTGGTTTCTTCCAGTCCACTACACATGGCCGCTGTATAAAAAACTTGAAATCTTTTATGCTACGGGTATGACACATGTAGTAATTTTTGAAATAACTAGGCACCTGCAGTGAACAAAATAGAAATACAATTAAAATGCAAAAAGACACTTAAGTCACTGACTTGGATTGTGACTATATTGTCAAGTTCAGAATTTTCATTAATAAGTAATTAGCAGTTCCTTGTACTGGTATTTCTGACAGGGAAATAGTAATTTCTATGTTGACACTTTGGCCCTATACTTACTGAATCAGGTGTCTTAGATCTAAGTATGAGACAGTTCCATAGAGGCCACTGATCCACAATGACTTCAAATCCAGTTAGCAAATCCTCCAAGTGGTTGCATAGTATGTAGTAGATCTGTAGTTTATTCAGATAATAAAAATATTAAAGCTGAGCAAACCTTTACTGTATTTGCTAACTATTTGTAGATTACGGACACACATTTTTAGCACCTCAAACAACTTGACAGTCTAAAATTGTATACATAATATTATTGCATATAGATTCTAGGACAATATATTTTTGTCCTTCTACATCATATTTTTAATGTAATAACTTCAGGATGTGTGATTGCCTAAGTACTAAGCAATAGGAGAAAATTGATTCAATTTTTTTTTTATATATGTACAGTTGTCCCTCGCGCTTCGACATTCACAGGTCTATTGCGTTTTTGTTTCAAATATAACAGTTTTCATTAAAAAGTTGATCGTGATAGTGAAAATGAAACAGCGTGTGCTCGGTTGTGTGAATCAATAATACACCCTTGTATTACAATTCAAATGGAAATTACTGTACGCATGTACTTTAGGCATATTTATTCAAGCACCCCCCCAGAGGGTCTAATAATGTTAAATACCATATTTTGAGGGTCATGAAAAGGTTTTTTCTTTACTCCAACTATGAAAATATTCAATTCATAAATAAAGAATCCTACTTCGCAGAATTTCAATTACTGCGGTAGAATCTGGAATCCATTAAGCGCGATAAATGAGAGACGACTGTATTATTAATTCCGTGGATAATGTTTTAAGGGAACAAACTATTTCCTATAAAACAAAGAGAAACTAACACAACCAACTTAATATGAATTAAAAATTACAATATATTTACTAGCTAGGACATTTAAAATCTAAACTGAATTTAACAACTGAGAATATCTATACATTTTTTTTTACTTAGAAAAAAAATTGTATGTAATTTAAATAATTGTTTTTTTTACATCCTCAAAAACTTTAATTACGGAGACATTTTTTAAATTTCATACTTAAAATAATGAAATTCATTTTTTGTGGCTTTGCCAGGAAAGCATATTCAAAATTAAATAAATGTTGAGAGCAAAATTGAGCCATGGACCATCAGTATATATAAACTCACTTTTGCTGACCCAGGTAACTGTGAGTGAAGTTCCCAGCGAAGTTCCTGAGTTTCTTCAAGAGTTAGGGTTTGAAACATTACAGACATCTTTACAGAATGCTGTAACTTTAGTGCTACAGTTGACAATTGAAAGCTAAAGAACCTGTAAGTATGTAAAATGTTAAATTAACTTAATTTAAATTTATTTTACATCTTTAATATAATATACACCATGCCCATATATTTTTTGGATTAGTCATTCCAACTACTGTTATCATTATCCTAGCGACAAGTATGTCAATTAAATTGTGAGCTGATGGAAAATATTGTCTTATTAGAACAAACCGAAGTATGAGAGCCTTCGTCAACTTAAATCGTTTTTAAATTTAAAAATTTAAGGAATTTATTATAATATGAATGACATTTTTTTTTTAAAGACTAAGGAAAGGTTTCATACACACAAAGTCTTTTTTCAAGTATTATTATCTAAGTCTAGTTCTAGCACATTGAGAAGTTACAAAGCCAAATACCACTCACTGAAATTTATATTAACTAACCATAAAGCTTAATTAAGTTCAATAGCTAAGATAATATAGCCCTGAACTTAATTATATATCCTACTAATTTACAGAATCTTATTTTTTTATGTTTTCAGTACCACACTCTGACTCTGTCACTTGTGACTGTGTTCTGTTACCTCTGTTGTTTGTGTCTACTCACTTTGTTGGCCTATAAATTGTATATATAGTGGAACCCCATGCTAAAACAGGAATTGGTATACTCTTGAAAAAAAAAAGGATAAGAGCGTTTATGAATTTGATTATGATACTACATAGCTTACTAACTGCAAGTTTAAAAATATCCAAGAAATCCCTATTTTCTTGCTTTTTTAGTACATTCTGGATGAACTTCTAAAAAAGAGATCTCCTTGATTTTCGTTTTTGATTTTTTGGTCTACACTCATAATTTTTGAATAAGTTATAAATGACAATAAATTTAAGAAGCCTATTTTTTTAAAATTATTGATCAGTTTTTCAAAAACAATTATTGATCAGTAAAGTTGCTAAATTTTGGGTTAATGGTATGGGTTTTGCCAAGAGTTGCCTCACTGTAAGCGCAGTGGCGTCACTTTGGGGACTCTGAACACTAGACTAAGTGAATAGACCAATTGTTGGACCTGAAAAATGTGTGTGATAACTTTCTCGATCAACTTACAAGTTTTAAAAGAAATGAAAAACAGAAACAGATCATTCCTGACACCCCAAGAGTCTTGGCAAGACTGAACACGGACATTTCATCATATTTTTCATGCCACGTTCAATACACCAAAACAAGAAACAAAATGATTTTCTGGGAAGGGGAGCCCCTCCCCAGAACCCGCCCCCCATCTTTCAAAAATAAAAAAATTAGAAAACAAAACAGAGTAGGGTTAAACCTGAAAAAAGAAATGGAACAAAACAATGAACGTGTCGGCAGAAAGCTTTCGAAAGCCATGTGGACGCAGCCGTTGCAACACTTGCCCTTTTCTCGTCCAGACTCAACACATAAGTTTCCCTAAGGGCAGTTTTCAGATATGCGATGGCTTCCTTTGTACAAGCCGCAACGTTGTCTACGCCAAAGTCTGCACCTGCTGTCAGCTGACGTATATAGGGGAGACTGGACGCCGTCTCTATGACAGGTGTACCCAACACCTCCGTAACATTACACAAGATAAACAGTGTCCCGTCTCAAAAAACTTCTATAGTAGCGACCACCAGGGCAAGACGGACATTTCAATTAGTGCGATCGTGGCTAGCACAAACACACCCAGTCGGGTCAATGTGGAACACAGGCTTATCCTGACTTATAGTACCCTGACGCCACATGGGATGAATGTCATGTCTCTTTTCACAGCTTGACCCTAGCTCCGCCCCTCCACGTCCTGACCTATCGCAGTGGACTTTTTTCTCCTCTTTTCTTTCGCTCTTCCCTATTTAATCTCTTCCTCACTTACTTTCTGTCACATTTCTTTTGCTGCCCACGGATACTATGTCCAAGCTAAGTGATATTTCTTATTTTTATACCATTTTTTCTGTTGTTTTATTCGCTGACGAAGGCTTTCTGCCGACACGTTTGTTGCTTTGTTCGTTTCTTTTTTCAGGTTTAACCCTACTCTGTTTTATTCATTCTACATTGTGCTAACCTGATTGCAGTCTCTCCCCTTATTACCCTAAGAAAACAAAACCTTGCATTAAGTGAACACAAACTTTGAAAACTTTAGATTACGGTGCTAAAGATGGAAGATGACCAGTGGGAACCTCCATGACCTATTTACCATGGAACACATTGCAGGCCTTACCGTTAACCCAATCAGCCGTAAAGTTTACCTAATTTTAACTTAAATTTTCAAAGCTTTAACTTAAAACTCGAAAAACAAAAATCAAATAAATTCTCAATAAAATAAATAGAACAAGCCAGATGTTGGAACTAAGTAATTGGCGGATGTAGAAATGTAGAATTAATTATTATACCAAAAATCGAATATAAATGCAAAATTGGAAAGTGGAGGTCGCCATTTTGGCAAAATAATGATACCCGATTTTCCGATTGGTGTTTCCGGGTGATACCAAAGTGAATACTAATACTAGTCTAGAGAGTCATAGTTCAAATTAACACTAACTAACACATGATTTTTATTTGTACTTAAATTTATTAAATAGTATTAAGCCTAGGCCTAGACCAAACTAAGCCCTAAACCTAGCAAATTACTTAGTATATTAGAATTTAGTCTAGTTTATAGTTTAGAATTACTAATGTACTTAACTTACTTAACTGATTTAGTGATTATATTATTATTAGCTCAGACTCAGTCATTTCAGTTAGTATCAGTAATTATCAGTCTTGTAAGTTAGTAGGTAATTGCAGATAAGTGATAGTCAGAAGTATGTGTATTGCTAGACTATTACTATTAGTAGTATAAACTATCTCATAACTTTTTAAAAATAATTGAAATTAATAATACTAATTAATACTAATTAAAATTGTGTGCTTAGACTGACAGTCTTGAGTGATTAGCTTGAACTGAGTGAGTTGAAGAGTTGTCTAACCTGTAGACTGTAGTAAAGTAAAGTAAAGGCTTTAGTTTTATTGACTTAAATTATTAAAATCTGCATAGTCGACGTCGACCAGGATACTATAATACCGGTATTAATTTATAAAACATTTTGTTCGTATTAATATCATCAAAATCTGAATACCTATTTGAAGAAGTGTCCCTCAAACAAGGTTTCGCAATGTCACTTTCTACCCTGATTTTGTTTTAGCACTTCCACGACAAAAGACCTTGAGAGCACGTCCGGTAACCGTGTTCCACTTGTTATTTTCTTTGAATCAACACCGCATCATTATGACCTTTGAACTCTGCTTTTAACCTATAACCTTTTCTAAAACCTACACTTACACTTTTTTTTTTTTTTTTGAAATCAGTAATTACCAAATATTCAATAAGCTACCTAACTTGTTCTGAGTTAATGATAATAATAATAAATAATAGGCATTTATTCTCGTTCAAATATAACCTTTTAAACTATACACATTCAGCTAATGATCATAATAATAATCACACTGATTTTTAGGACATTATATATCTAAAAGAATGAGATATACTTTTTAAGTACGTTCGGATTCCTAAAAACAACCATAGTTATTTTCTATTATTTTACGGAAATCGAATAAATTTAAATGCGCAAAAAATAATTCTAAATCGTTTTTATTTTAGTAAAAGTTTTAATATTATTATTACAAATTACCAATACATTTAAAATATCAAGTAAGGAACTATTTTAAGCATTTTATATTTTAAAGTTATTAAAAAATTTAAAAAATTAAAAAATCATGATTAAAGATTTACACTATAATCACATTTATCGGGAAAACCCAAGCATCAGTCGTTTTTAGTACGTCTTTTAGTGCGTTGTTAATATTGCAAATTAAAATTAAATTGTTCTAAATCAGTGGTTCTGAACCTTCCTAATGCCAGACCCTTTAATACAGTTTCTCGTGTCGTGGCGACCCTCAGCCACACAATTATTTCCGTTGCTTCTTCATAGCTGTACTGTAAGGATATATCTTTTCAGATGATCTTAGGCGACCCCTGGAAAAGGGTCGCGACCCACAGGTTGAGAACCGCTGTTCTAAATAATCATGTAAATGACGTCATAGTGCGAAAAGCATATTTCGCCAATACTCTTAGGTTTCTTTAAATTTATAGACAAAACTGATTAAGTATTTTCCCTTCTTAAAAGTAAAATTAATTGTAATCTCCTTACCTTATGATTTAGTCGTCATTTTGTGTTTCAAAAAACGGTCCGATTTTAAAGATGTAATCAAATACAATTGATTGCTTTTTAAATTGTTAATAAAACACACATACATTTTTGCTTTGTATATTTTTACATGTAAAAATGTTTGCATGTTTTGATTAAAAATATATACTTTTATTAAATTCATAAAGTGTAAAAACTAACCTTTAAATATAATTCTAAGAAGAAAATGTGGTTTAAGTCAATCAGTGCAGCGCAACTCCATAGCTTAATAGCATTGACCAATCCACTTATAACTAAAACAAAAAAGAACGAACCATATGAAGTTTTAGTTTGGGTATGGAAGGAACTACATTAACTACAAAATTCTGTCCCTGTCGTACACCTGCATAGATGGCTCAGCACCGGAATATCTCAAGGAATTGATTTATAAACATGTACCTCTGAAGAACCTGCAGTCTTTAACACAGTACTTACTGAGTTTTCCTAGAGTGGATGAACACATAAAAATGTCTTAAGGAGTGCGCTCTTTTGAAGCGATAGCACCAAAATTATGGAAGAATTTGCCTCAATCTTTGAGGGCATGGGCGCCCACAGGTAGGGGCAAGGTGGGGCACTTGCCCCCCCCCCCCCCCCCCCCNGGGGGAAGGTGGGGCACCTCCCCCCCCCCCCCCCCCCGGATTGATTGGATAAAAAAAATTTTAGACAAAAATAGACAAAAAATATATTAAAGTAAAGAGAAAATAAAGAGAAAGTAACTAAGCTGATGTCCTGTCCGTTCGGTCACCATACAAATAGGCTACAGTAAATTAAAACTACATTAAAACATTACTAAAAAATTGTTGCCCCCCCCCCTCGGAAAGTTAATCGATTTTTTTTGCCCCCCCCCCCTAGAAAGTTTTCTGCGGGCGCCCATGTTTGAGGGGAATCGTAAATGATAAAAAATCATTTAAGAAACAATTTTAAAACTTTTTTGTTTAAATAGATTTTGCAGGACCAGAGCACAGTGAGCAAGCTAAAGTGGCATGGATAACAGCGTGATATAAATATCAAATCAAATCAAACAATCCGGTAGAAGATTTTTCTAAATTTATTTAAATCTGGGTGGGGGATGGGTTGGTTACTTTGGCCCAGGCAGCACAAGATACGTCTCAAAATAAATGAATGAATTAGATAAACAATTAACCCTCTTGGGAACATACATTTCGGAGGTAGGAAATAGAATGTGTACATATTCACGTGGATGACAATATTTTTAAATCCTATGGTATTACATTTGAGAAAAGAGCGATGTTACATTCTCCTTTTACAAATATTTGTATGTTCAATTTGCCCAAGGCAGCACAAGATACTTCTCAAAATAAAGGAATGATTTTGATAAATAAATAATTTTCTTGGGTAAATACATGTTGGAGGTAGGAAATAGGATGTATATATTTTCACGTGGATGACAATATATTTAAATCCTATGGTAATGCATTTGAGAAAAAAGGGATGTCACATTCTCTTTTTACAAATATGTGTATGTTCATTTTGCCCAAGGCAGCACAGCATAGTCTCAAAATAAAGGAATGATTTTGATTAAATAATTAATTTTCTTGGGTAAATACATGTCGAAGGTAGGAAATAAGATGTGTACATTTTTACGTGGATGACAACATAGTTAACTCCTATGGTATTTCATATGTGAAAAAAAGAGATATCTCTCTCTCTCTATCTCTATCTCTCTCTCTCTTCTCTCTCTTCTCTCTCTCTCTCTCTCTCTCTCTCTCTCTCTCTCTCTCTCTCTCTCTCTCTCTCTCTCTCTCTCTCTCTCTCTCTCTCTCTCTCTCTCTCTTTACAAATTATAAGTATTTACCAATTAAGAAGATCGATGGCGTTAACAAATCTTGGGTACAATTATATAAGTATACACATGAATATCAAAAACCCAATCATTTTACACACTTGAAAAATTAATTTTAAAAATAGAGATGTGTTAATATTTAGTATCAAAAAATTAAAATATTTTTTTTTGTTTTTACTTTGCAAAAAGTAAAGAGATTTGTATTTTTTAGATTAACCATTTAAATTTTTTTAAAAACAACACTCAAATCTGTTATAGACGAGAAAACGGTTGCGCGATTCTTCTTTAGATAAAAGAATTCTTTGTTTTATGATTTTCTGATAATATATAGGCCTATATATTTTTTTAATTTTTGCTGAAGATATCAATATATATCGAATTCCTATAATATAAAATATGTTTATATCATATATAGAGTTTTTGGTGTAAATTTAAGGCACGTTTTTTAATAAAATTTTTAGAGAAAAAAAAGTTGTAATTCAAAGGCACGAAAAGTGGTCAATCTAAAGTATTTCTTTAACCTAGTAATTGTCCCTCAATTAACTTCTTTAGTGACAAAAGTGAAATAATTAGTAATAATTTAGACTGTATAATTCAAAGTAATGTTTAGAGGGGAAAAAAGTAGTTTAGGAGCGTGAAAAGGAGTAGGATAGGCCCATTATATATAAATACTTCTCAAAACGTAATGATGTTACAAACGTAAATATCATTACATTTTTAAAGTTATGAATTGTGACGAGTTTTTGCAATAGCAGTAAGAAATTATCCCGATAACATCGGGTCATTTAATATATGTAAATATTAATTATTAAAACATTTATTTCAAAGATTGTAGATTCCCGTCAATAAGCCAAAGATCATGAAGGTGAAATTGTCATTGTAAGGCAAATCAGAAACAATTTAAGACTTAAGTTGTTGTTTTTTTTTTAAATACTTTTTATTTTTTTTTATTTTGATAGTTATAAGAACTTTGAAACATTTTGTTGGTTGTTTATAACGTAAAATTGCATGATAGAATGATAAATACTTACTATTAGCCCAGTAATACTTTTCCATAAATAATATAAAACCGTTCCGCTAACGTTTCAGTTTGATGTAATATTAAATATCTGGTGTAGCATGACTTTTAAAATCAGTTTCCCCTCCTGCTATGGTAAAAGACAAAATACACAGAAATTAATAGGCCTAAATGAACTCGCATATCCAAAATTTGACATTTTAGTTAAGATTTTTGTTCCATTAATTCATTAATTTTTGTTTTGTTTTTAAAGGAATGTATCCAGTTACTCAAGCCCCTGAGCCTGATGTCTAAAAGTCAAAAGTAAAATAAGTTACCACCATTTACCTCCCTCAACCCACAAATTAACATAACTATAACTCATGGTAGGAGCCACCATACGTAACACTACACCACCAATAGGCTAATTGTGACGTTTTGAAACTGGACGTACTGAACAAAAAAAATAATAAAAAAATAATGTACATGACACAAAAAATTACCAACAAAAGCTGTGACGTATGTCAACATAAACTTCTGACACCGATTAGACTACCCCACACGGTTCTAATAACGAGGTGATATTTTTAAGGATAATAGTAGAGACAGTGTTCGAGCCGTTTGATTGAAATGGTTATAACAGGACATGTGATAACTTGAATAATGATAAATTACAATCCAAAGAAAAGGTTTCGACTGAAAACCTTAAGTGTTATTTTTATAATAATTTTTTGTTTTGTTGTTTGTTCGCTGAAGAAGGCTTCTTGCAGGCCCGTTCTTTGTTTTGTTGCATCTTTTTTAAAAAAAAAAGAAAAAAAAGGTTTTTCCATACTTTGTTTCGCTCATTTCAACTCTCCAGCCTGATTCAGACCTGTTTACTCTTCCGATTTTGACGTACAATGTACGATTTTGAGATGTTTTTTTACGATTGTACACCAAGACCCATCAGAATTAAGATTTTAAAGAACCGGGTTGAAAATATACACATTTCGAAAGTTTTTTTCCGCTTAAAAAAATAAAAAAATTAAAAAGTTCATTTTACGTTGCTAGTTTTAACTTGCATTTGCATTCCATATCCAGCTGTGTTTGAGCACCATCTATAATTAGCCTATATTACGTTTGTCTTGAGATGGGAATGGAGTGGTGTTGATTTAGGTGATGTTGTTTACGGCTGGGTGGGTGGGTCCCCAAATTATTTAATTCTATATAAATTAACACCG